TATTAATTTTGAACGAGAGACACGGGATTTCCTGGCCTGGTACATTTGTCCTGAGGTCCAGTCCATCGAACACTTAGAAAAAATCCTTAGATCCGACCGGATTTGAACCGACGTCTACTAACAAACCGTGGCTTGCGCTTTGTGGAACGAACCAGCGGATCTCACGAATTTTTGTACGTGCTTATTGTTGGATCTTTGTATTTGGTTTTTCAACGACTTTTTAGCCGTAGCCATCTTTGATAAATCTATGAAAGTATTTCGTCACAAAGTTAGGTAACTTTACAGTTACCAGCCCTGGCTAGAGATGCGTTATTAACTGTATTTTAAATTTGTATTGAATTGATATTATATAAAGTCGATATTAGTGTCAGAACACCAAAAGCAGTGTATTTTGGGCTAGTTAGCAGATATTGACAATGAGGAGCAGTAAAAAAAATGATTCGTACCTCCATGTCAGGCAGCCTTGTTGAAGAGTTTGTACCGACGAAGAGACGTTGTATCCACCGCCCCAGATGAACAGATAGAAAACTCAACATTTATTATTATTGCAAGGAAAATATATATGACCAATTCATACTTCGTACCGACTGCAAAGAGAATGAAAAATTGTGTCTTTCTCTTTGTAAAAAGCTTATGTATTTTTTTGTTGATTTCTTAGCTTAATATTTTTTAATATATCCTTCATTTTGTTTCCATTATTTAAGATAGATGAAAGAACAGATTTTAGTTTTATATTTCGTTGTAGATTTTTATTTTGTGATCCCTGAATTCCAAATGTGAAAGTTAAGTTCCTATTTTTTAATTCCATTTTAATTTACAAATTTTCCAAATTTTTAATATTGATGTTGAAATTATATTTGCTTATTATTTATGAAACCAAATTTTGAAAAAAATATGAGGTTTGACTTCTCCTTAAAGTACCCACGCGACGATTCGTGTATAGTAAAAGTGCACGACGCGACGGGCCGAGGGTTAATAAAGAGGGTAGTTGTAAGATTGACGCCTTTGTCAATAACGGGCTTTTCATTATACTCTATCGCGCGTGCTACAGCAATCGTGCGCAATTGAGCGTGCGTGAAATTGTCATTGTGTATACGGTAGCACATCAACATCAACCCATTGCCGGCCACGGGTCTCCTCACAGGCGAGGTTCTAAGCCATAGTCCACCACGTCCACACCAGAAATAGAGACGAAATGTCATTAATTTTTTTTTTAAATTATTGTGCCATACCATAACGAAATTTGTTCTGGGATTCGACGAACTCGGTAGCTCCTCGGTTTATATTGTGCCCCGGGTTCTGTTCCCAGTAAGAGCGATTTAGGACATAAACTTTTACAACCTGATTCTAGTGTGGGTGTTCCGTGTAGAAGTGAATTCTGTATTATGCTTAGTTTAAAATACTTATACACTTTTATAGCGACGTAGTTTTGGCAATAAATAAATTTCAAGGCATCACATAATTCTGGACGTGGTCCGTAGTTAATATAATCTTTTTCAATACGGTTTAATACATCCTTTTTAATTGGTGCGCTGTAATCAGAGTTTTCGACAGCCGATTTTGAATGGTTTACATTTACGTGCCCCTGGTGTTCCAGAAACCCTTTATGTTCTCCATAGCACATGGGATACTCGCACTAAAAAAAAAAACAATCAAAACAATTATCAGTAAACAAATTGTAATGCGTATTTATTTCAGCGTGTATGTGAAGCATATCATACATAGACACAACGAGCGTTTAAATATATTACTTATACTTTGTCAAATAGTTGCCTTTCACATTTACAATCTTCTACTTAAATCATCGAGTATTAACCAGAAATAGAGACGAAATGTCATTTAATTTGTTTGAAAACTATTCTGCCAAATCATTACTGTGACTATTGCGGCCCCGATTGACGTGTTATCGTCAATTGTTTCACTTCAAATCGATCAGTTTCAATTGAGCTTTGCTATAATGGACGAAAATTGAAAAATTACACATTTACTCCGATTCCGTTTGTTTTATAATTAGATGTTTCTTTTCGTCGGCTAATTTTTAACTGGGCGGAAGCGAGTGTTTTCTTGTTCGTCAGCTATGTGTCACCAGTCGGATGACGTTATCTCGCTGTTGCGTGTTAGTAAGGTATGCGCGGGAAAGGGATGGTATAAGAACGTAAACATTGATCCAATAAAACCATTGCTAATACTAGGAAATGAAACTATTTTTCCGGATTTAAATCGCGTATTTTTGTTTTTTCAAACAAACCAACGTTTTATAGGCCCCATGGTCACGGTTGACTGAGGTGGTACAGTCTTCAACCAGTTATGTCTAATATTGATGCAAACCACACTATTTTTTCACTATAGTTACAATAGATATTAATTAAATACCTTATTTTTAATTTTACAACGAAAACATTTCAATTTGCACTACATTAAGTTTATAATATTAAAATATAGTACTTTGTAGTAAATCCGTGACATTATTTAGTTTTTTCATATTTTTAAAACTAACTTACCTTGTTTATCCTTGTGTAATATTGAACTAAGTGGTTAACAGCTATTGCTAAACTATATTAAAGTGCAGTTGTATTTATTCTCATATGAAGATAAAAAATGATATTTTTAATAAGGTTTATAAATGCAATTTAAACAACTTTTCACACTTCTAAAAGCATTATCTCTAAATTACAAACTGTGCAGAAACTCGTAACTGGTTCTACCGCCAGAACTTCGGTACATGAGAGCGCAATTTAGCCTGTATATTAATACATAAATAAAACAACACTATTATTCTATTTCTTTAAAATTATGACATTAATTAAATTATTTTAAATAAACAATATTTTTTACTAGACGTTTCAAAAGTCTTGAAATTCTTGTCGAAGCATTAAAACACCAAACGCCACGCAAATAATCGGCTTAGAAATTGACATCGCCGAATTTCAAAGTTAAATTGAAAGTCAAATAATCATTTATACACTTGAATACGTAATTTTTTAAGATACTGCTCATTCACTACGCTGACCTCCCTAAGAAGAACGAGCAAGAAACTCTAGGGATTGGTCTTTTCAATATAAATATAAATGTTATAGAATACATTTTGAATCATGTTTGTGTGGAATCTAACAACAACACGTAGTGTACAATTTTGTAATATGACTTTTCAATTAAAATACTTTTAATATAAGTTTTAAAACTTAGGAAATGATAATCTTAATATATTCTCCTGAATCTTATTGTAAAAACGTATACAGTTCCTCATAAAAGAATCGTTTACCTTAGTTAAACGAAATCGAGGTAACATGAGCTTAACTTAGTTCTAAGGTTAATATTATGGATATCTTCCTTAATGAAATTATGTATATTTTTATATTTTTATTATTTATTTATTTATTAATACATAGGGCGCACTATAAGTGTCCGGAACTAGCCACTTACATAAACAATATTTAAAAAGTAATTGCAACATTTGAAAATTGAACTCTTTGGCTATAGAATACAGTTTGTTTCATCGTACTGTCACTTGTTTTTACATTGTGGCGTCATTTTAGAAATTGGTTGTTTACATCACCATGGATTAAACTTGTGAAAATTTTCGTAGTATGATTTTCTACGACTTTAAGTTTGCAGAATTCAAACGCGGTCGTGTGAATCTCAGTGATGAATTTCGTGATGGTCGCCCGTCCACTGCTGTTAACAACAAAAACATCGATGCTGTGCGCCGTATGATCAAAACAGACAGGCATGTGACATACCATGAGATTCGGGCATCTTTAGGCATAGTCATGAATCAAATACAATCAATACTACACAAACATTTGGGTGTGATAAAGCTGTGCTCTCAGTGGATCCCACACAATTTGACTGAGGCTCAAAAAACGGATCGCGTCACTTGGTGCAATGCCGTGCTTACCAGATTCAACGAAGGGGCGTCAAATTTGATTTTTATAAACCCGGTTTTTTTTATTAGTTCTATACCGATGCTCTGCATTTTATTCGAAGATCGTCTCTGTTGTTGATTCTTCGATCTCGGCTGCCACTTAATTACAACACCTATCAAAATGAAGTAGGCAGGAATTTGTCACTCCCGTGTTTTACATCACTGAGAGTAACAACAACTTATTACACTTTCCTTTGTTTTCTTCATATGAAAATGTGCTATAATCTGTTACAGTGGTAAACTCGTCTAATAAATTAGCTGAGTAAAGAGGACTTTGAATTCCGACTTCGGATGTATCATTTTCAACGAATAAAAGTGAATAAAAATTTTACTAGAGTTTTTGTAAAGAGAATTGTATATATATACAAAAAAAGAAAAACGTCAGTACTGAGTACTAAAAAACCGACCTCAAAAGTCATTCATCCCCTAGTTTGCCACCATTAGAGGTAGAAATGAGACCACTGCTAAGGTGTCATCTTTCCAATAAAAAAGAATCATCAAAATCGGTTCACCAATGCGTTATCGCGTAACATACATACAAAAAAAATATTACAATGCTTGCCATTGTGGTGAAAGTATATGCCAATCGGCGTAAGGTACTAGTTAAATGTAGGGCCCATTGAAAACCAAAGTCACAGCCTAATATTGATTGTGACTTTAGCTGAATGGGATCTTTTTGCATACGCACAGCTGCACACATATCAGTATACAATTATTTTAGTATAGTACAATTTGTTGTTTAAATGTTGACTATGCTGTTTTTTGCGTTATTTTTGTTTTTATTCAATCGTTTTTTGTGCTTTTGTTTTATAATGTGGCGTCGCACTAAATGGTCTCTATTTCTACTTCTACTTCAATCCTGGGCCAGGGCGCACCAGATGTACGCAAAAGGAATGCTACGTCGTGAGGTGAAGTATAATTTGGGGCTCCTTGCGTGCACCCCAAATTATGCTTGAAATCGCCACATCTACATAACTCTACTACTTATTCATAAAGCAGTTTCCACTGAGAAGACTGGATAATAAACTCTAGGGGTTGTTCTTTGTAAATAAATATTTGTACACATTTATCATTTACGGTATTTATTTCATATATTACACATAGATCTTGGCAATTATGTCATCCAAGTATGCAGAAGCTGTACTATATCTTATCTCCCTGTCGTTTTATACCCCGTAAATTACAAAATTTGAATATCAACCGAAATCTTGTTGAAGAAGCGCATACATTGACCCTTTAAATGAACTTGAGTTCCCCGAAAATTGGCTTTAGAACAAATAACAAAGAAAATTCTTTATAGGTACGTTTTTATCTTGTAAATATTGACTCATTATATAGATATTTTATCTACCTTAAATGTAATTAGTATGCACAGTGCCCTCTCATGGAATTATATAATTCGCATCTTTTTTCATTATAAAATGTTTGACATAACTGTAAATAAAAAAAGCCATATAAATAAATATAAAAGAAAAATAAAGGATTAAAACCAACAAGGACAACTTTAAAAAAAAGCTTTTCTTTTTCGAAGTTGGAGTAAAATGACTGTTCATTGTGTAATAGTGTTGCTAGCTGCAAACAGTTAGTGATTGGTGTCGATAAATATTCTATCGACTGAATTTTCGTCACGATTATTGCAGTAAATAACGGAACTTGTTTCATTGGAATCATCATTGGTCTATAATTCGTTCATCTGCTGGACACAGGTTAATTTAGATTATTAATTTGTAAATTATACATACATATACATAAGCATAAGAACTATGTCTATTAAAAATGAAAAGAAGAGACATATGTATTTTAAAGTTTTTAATTTTTAATCAAATCTGTCTATTATTATTAAAATGTATATGAATAAAAATTATTTCGATACTAATAGGCAAACTTTTTTTTTATAATACTAAGTGACGGGACGAACAAGTCGTGCGCCTGTTTGTAAGTGACACGCTTGCCCATAATAGTTGCAGTGTTACTCAGAGCTTTAAATCATAAAGATCTGGAGGCACCGCCATTGCGCCCGTTCCCGGAGACATAAGTTGACAAGTCTCATGGGCCTGTAATTTCACCAGCACCCTTAACCCTTCACAACCGGAACATAGTAATGTGACCATCACTGCTTGGCGGTAGAAATAAGTAAGATAGATATAGACAGACAGTACTTCTCAGGACAAGCTCTTTCACAAGGAGCTCTACTGCTACTAAAAACTGTCAAAATAACGCAATAACTAATAATTAATATTTCATAACATTCACAAGTCAGACATTTTTAGCAAAATTTTACCTTCTTTCGCAAACTATCGATAAAACAATCGACAATAACTACACAACTATTTAATTTTTTATAAAAACTGGCAACCCTGCAAATGTCGTTAATTCCGTATTCAAAAAAGACAGATAGTATTATAAGGCCAATACATTTTTGCACAGGTTGTTCCCCAAGTAAAATGAACAAATATACGCGATTTTAGATTTAAAAAAATTATTCAAAGTACAAAGTACTTACTTTCAACTGGGCATAATTTTTACAGTAAAATACTTTGAGCATATCACAAACTTCAGGATGCGGTCCGTAGTTTGTGAAGTTTTTTCGGGCACACTCAGAATACATGTTTTTCAACTGCGCATCGGAAGTAGGGATCTTCGAAAAATAATTACGTAATCCGGTTTTCCCGATGAAAACTCCATTAATGTCCACAATATTCAGAAGTTTTCCAAAACAGTTGGGGAATACGCACTGAAATACAACAAAAAACCAAATAATTGACAATCTTCAAGAATAGTTATTCTATAGAGTTCTAGATTATAATTATGTTATTTAGTGGTAACTAAATGTAATGATGATAATTGTAACTTTTTCATTAAAACAAAACCGACTTCAAGAGTTCCAGGAAGTACATCTAAGTACTTGCTAAGTTTTATTGAAATCGGTTACCGGAAAGTGCGGGAAACGGGATTAATCCCCTAGTTTGCCACCGTTAAAGGTAAAATACATTATTTAATGTAAACGGGACCAACAATGAGGTACTCTCTTTCCAACAAAAAAAGAATCATCTAAATCGGTTCTCACATTCCGGTGGAATCGCGTTACATACATACAAAAAAAATACAGTCGAATCCAGTCGAATTGAGAACCTTTTTTTTAAACCCGTTAAAAATTAAGAATTGCGTGTTGAAATTTATTTTATTTACTTATTTCCCAACTGAATCTATCTTCACAGGTTATCCACCCAATGCAATAGACCAGCAAAATTACTACATGTAACACAAGGTATAAAGCGCTATCTTTGTGAATTCACTCAGAGAACAATGGAACAGATCGATCCTATTCGATATTTCGTTCGGGGTGAGAAATGTGCGCGTTAGCGGACATTCCGTCATGAGATTGTTCCATCCACGCGACACCGCCAGTAGCAATGGACGGCGACGTCGCCCCACGAACCTATCATTGGAACAGATAAGCCCCTAGTAGCATCGGATTGCATAGCATACCTCTTTTTATGCACATAATCACCACAACGTAACATTTCTTTCCTATACGTTTGGCGCACCCTGATCAACAATCGATGAGTACCTGAGGCCATTGCATTGGCACATCCTTTCACCACGATGGCAAACATTATAGTGTATGCCATCGATACGACGAGAAAAAGAAGATGACGCGGACAAATGAAAGGTGATAAAGATTCACAGAAACAAATAGAAGCAACATTGGAAGAGAATGGCCAGAAAGGCGTTCTCGGATCAAACCAGATCTTAAAAATCTGGACTACATAGTGAGAAGAATAGGAAGATTTGTTGTATATAAAAATTGACAAATGTAAGTGAAGCACGAGAGGTTGGTCAAGATCTTACAAAATGGTGAACGATGCTTTTTGTAAAAAGGATGTTTTGTAGTAGATAGCTGATGGTTTTGACTACGCTCCAGACAAAAACGCTGAAGACTCTTAACCCATTTAAAAATTTTAGTCGCCGGCCTAAGGGCGCCCAGGGACCCAAGTCTACTAATTGGAAAATATCTCAGTTGTGTATCTTTATTTTATAATATCAAGTGATGGGACGAAAAAGTCCGGATTCGAACCCTCAGCTACCTATAGCAGCAGTAGAGCCCCTTGTGAAAGCGTTCGTCCAAGGAAGTACTGCCACCTTACCTATTTCTGCCGCCAAGCAGTAATGTCAGCATTACTGTGCTCCGGTTTGGAAGGGTGCTGGTGAAATTACAGTCACATGGGACTTATCAACTTAAGGTTTCTCCGTACCACCTGTTTGGGATCATCTAAGTAGTATTTCCTCTGATGAAAAATCCCAAGCAGACATTTATGTAGCGTAAAATAGAACGTTCTTTAGAAAAAAAATAAAAATAAGATAATTGATTAATCACTTTTGTAACAATAATAATAAAGCACACACTCAACATAGCCCTGCACCAGAGAAACCCTGTGTCGCGGGTGCCATGGACGCACACATACGCAACCACAAATAACACCCAAACTCACGAGAGAAATAAATCTAGGCCATATAAATATTTCTCCCAGCCCGGGAATCGAACCTAGGACATCAGCGGCAGTTGGACTACGGAGACAGTTATGACCAAAGGACCCAAAACGTTGGTTTGTTTGAGAAAACTGAATAGCTTCATTTCCTATGTCTAGCAGTCGTGAAAACCTAATAACTCGATAGTTAGTATGAAAGTTTATGAATACATACGTCAAACACATCGACATGATTTTCTGCGTGACAAGTTTCAAAGAAATTTGGTGGATAATGCACTCCATACTCTGGTTCATCTTCTATATCGTAGTCCACACAACAACGTGTTGTTATTGCTTCCTGTGTTGTACGTAAATTCTTTAACTTTTCGTTATCTTACATAACTATTATGTACTAACTTTGACAGATATTTAATGGTAAATTATTACTAAAGTCTTAATTAAACTATTTTTTTTTGGTCCTGTCTCTTTTTCAGTGGCGAAAAAGATACGTTGTTGTTTTGTAGGAAGAGCGAAAGAGTTGTTTAGCTACATTTCGAAAAAAGGTTTCATGAGATTTTAGGTTTTCACGACTGTTTTAAAATATTTACATCTTCTTTTAAATGCAATTTTAACATTTAAGCTTAATTAAAACCAAAAATTATTTTAAAACACGATGTAAATAATTGAAAACGGTCGTTAAAACCTAGCCTACCTAGGAAAAATTTTTCGACAACTCGCTTACGTCCTTTCTACCAAATACCAGCACTTATTATACAGAAACAACATTTAAAGATATATATATTGCAAATTGAATTAAACGTTCGAAATGTTTACCTACATTTTCAACATGTAGCCAAAGAATTTTATACATATTTAAGGGAGTAAACCGCACAATTAAAAATAAAACAATGAATAACAACAACAACAACAACACACACACTGATTGCTCCGCATTAGGAAAACCCTGTATCGCGGATGCCATGGATACATACATAGGTAGACAACCACATATTACACCCAAACTCACGAAAAAATAAATGCAGGCCACAACTTCCAAATATTAGAAAATATTATAGATAAACCATTTCTCTAAATAACCTTTTTTTAATATTAAATTATAATTAAGTTGATATTTTGGATTGTAGACCGTTGTTGTAGTATACAACTTAAAGTTGAAGTTAAATCACATTTGTGACACACGCTTGACTCATGACCCTATACTAATGAAATCACATTTTTATATTCTAAAGATTAAAAATCTTTGGATACTTACAAACATTGGACCCATCCCATATAACAGTTCACAACGATTACTATCATTATCTAACTGCAAATTGAATAAAATTTGAAATAAACTCTATAAAACACATGAGACAAAACAGCGTATTTACTCATTGAGACCAATTAACTGAGCCCAACAACAGTTCTGTACGTACGACTATGAGCAGTTGAGCAGACTGGAGTTGATTGTAGCATCTGATCGAGATTATCATAGTAATATCATCGGATTTGCAAATATACTCTCTACACATTTCTTCCCCTTGCGAGCTATTAACGGGCTTTACGCAGACACTCTATCGCGCGTGATATAGCAATCGTGCGAGATTGAGCGCGTGGTAAGACGTTGGTAGGGAAAGGGAAAGATCAGCCCTTTGCGCTCATCAGTCACGCGCGCAATCACGCAATCCGACACACGCCAGTAGCAGTCTGCGCTATTAGTATTTACACGGACGCTCTTTCCGTTGTAACAAAAATGAACATGAGTTCTCTAAACTGTTGCGCATGCACGCTTTCCCGCGCGCAATCCCGTACGCTCCTGATCACGCGCGATACAGCGACTGTATAAAGGTGGTAACCTATTACAAACTCGAATTACTTTTTTCCGAATTTCATTACTCCGAAAACGGTTCGACTACAGCAACTGCAGCAGCGCGGCGGCCGCGCGACTGTCACTTTTCATACAATTCTAGACGCGCTGCAGCAGTGCGACAGTCGCGTGGCCACCGCGCGGTTGCAGCGCTTCTAGAAATGTATGAAAAGTGATAAACGCGCAGACGTCGCGCAGCCGCCGCACGGCTGCAGCGCTGCTGCACCGCGGCTTGCTGAGGCTAATTTAAACGCGCCCTAAACCACGCGTTGACGCAGATCTGCGTCTCCGCCACCGCGTGCGTGATTCCGCGTCTCGCGCTCCGTCACGGGGCGCGGTGCAGTGTGTTAATCACCTAATTAGAGGAAGTTCGTACCTGTGGGTCTATTCTCGTTCTTCGTCCTAAACAATTATACTGTCGATTGAGTAATAGGGACCAAATGAAAATAAAGTATGAAGCTTTACTCGCATCATGCGTCTTTTAAAATTGTGGTCGATTATTACGTATTTGACACTAATTGTTTCCGACGAATGTCGGACAGAGCACGAGAGTAGACTCACAGATAGGAGAACGTATATATAATTTGCACAAAACGTTAAGGCCTGTTCAGATACGCGTTATTCGCTACTACTTGGGCTAGCGAAATCCGAGTGGGTACGCGGTAATGCCCACTGTTCATACCTAAGCGAATATCGCTACCGCTATTATGTCAACTAATCGTCACTAACTGATTTGCGGGCTCTACGGAGGGATGAATTTGCAACGACATCGTGCGGCGAAACCTGTTGTACCTCGGCGGCATAGCGTGGTATTTCGGTTTCGCTCTAGCTTTTTCTTTTAAGCTACCCACAGCGGTAGCGATTATGGCTTATATCTGAACAGGCCTGTACGCTTCTGCGTTTATATGGCGAATGGATGTGCATGCTACATTATCAAACTTATTATCACTTTCCATCAAACTTATTCTTTTGTAAAAAAAACAGTCAAGTTATTGAATATCTCAGGGTGACGGGTGCAGTGGCAGTGACCCTCAGATCTTTCCGATTTGAAGCTCTGAGTGGCACTGCAATTGTTATGGACAAGCGTTTAGTATACGTTCAGGCACAGGACTCGTTCGTCCCGCCAATTAATATTATAAATAAAAAAACTTACAGAATAAATGACTTTATAAATTGCAGCTGCGATACCCAGAGCAAGGATCATATACATAATTGGCTTTACGATAGAAAATTCTATATTTCATAATATAACTATTATGACAATCACATTGTTTTTAAAGTTTGTAGTAAAAAAACTCAGACTTTGATTGTTGAATAAATGAATCTTGTATTGCGCCATAAATCGATTGATTAATCGATTTAGATTTTGGTCATGGCTTTGCTTTGGTAATCATAAATCACTTTAAACGTACATAAAACAGACTGTCGTAAAATTAATAAAAGTACGTTGTGATAGCGTGAAGGTAACCAAGTTTTTATACTTGAAAATAATAATCATGTATATTTCTTAAAAAGCTGTAAAAGCTTACCTTACCTATTTCTGGTGCCAAGCAAGAATGTGAGCATTATTGCGTTTCGGTTTTGAAGAGTAAGTGTGCTGGTGAAATCTGACTCTCGAACTCTTTCACTCAACTCTACAGCTACTGTGTGTGTGCGTGTGCGTGTGCGTGTGCTTGAGCGTATGCGTGTGCGTATGCGTGTGCTTGAGCGTATGCGTTTGTGCGTACGTGCGTGCGTGCGTGCGTGCGTGCATGCGTGCGTGCGTGCGTGTGTGGGTGCTTGCGGGCTTGCGTGCTTGCATGCTTGCGTGCTTGCGTGCGTGCGTGCGTATACGTGTGCTTGTGCTTGTGCGTATGCGTGCGCGTGCGTGCAGGTGCGCGCGCGCGCGTGTGTGTGTATGGGTGTGTGTGTGTGTGTGTGCGTGCGTGCGTGCGTGCGTGCGTGCGTGCGTGCGTGCGTGCGTGCGTGCCTGCGTGCGTGCGTGCGTGCACGTGTGTGTGCGTGCGTGTGTGTGTGTATGAGCGCGCGCATGCGTGTGTCTAAGTGGTTTTTTTTAATGTAGAATCGTTGAATAAATATTTGTATCATAGACAAAAGGATATACGTAAAATTTGTTCCGTTTTAACACTGGATGCTGTCTCTTTATTATTTACATGGCTATTTGAGAAGGTTCCGTCAATAGAGCAAAATGTAATTCAATATGTACTTATATCCTATTTCGCCTATTTATATTGTTTTCTCAATTTATTTTATATAATATTATAAACGAGTTATTGTAATATTTTGATGACATGTCTCTTCAAATAACAAATAACGAATTTTCACTGCAATCGTGGTTCTATATGCGAGTAAATATGGAACTGGAGCTGTGTAATTAAAAATCCCTTTGTAATTCAGATTTTGGTATCAACAAAACAAAAAGCGAACGGGGAATTACAAGAATCGCATGAATCATGAGATATTTGCTAATTCACATTCATGAATTTAATTATCTTTGACTCCGAAACATTATCAAATAACATAAATTACATTTATAAATAATTCCGAGAGATTCTTCTCAAAACACAAAAGAATACCAATTTTGAATACTTTTAGAATATAATTTAGAAAATTTGAAATGGTAAGACAACATTTATATTATAATAAGCTTTGTTATGCAATATAGTAGTTTATGAGACTGTTACTTAATGAAAGGCATTAAAATACGAGTGTTTTAATGCCTAATTATGTTCAGTTATGCGCACATAATATAAGCTCTCTATGATGTGTTCAGAACCCGCATGTTACGATTGGCGAAATGGCGGCAAATAAAAACTTTTCTCACGCATGTCACGCAACCGTAGTTTTTATTTTTAATTCATAGACAAACTAGAGTCGGTCCCAACTATCATATCGTTCGATATCAAGTAACGTGTGAAATTTGTCAAAATTGTTTGCTATTGACATTTCATTTCGAATAAAACTTACTGGGGGCCTACCACAACCCCATAAAACAATATTACTTTAACCTTACATCATTGACTTACAATTATATGGACGTCGGGTCCGCACTAAAAAGTGTACGAACTTATAGGGCGTTAAAATCGTATACAGAGCGTAATTCACGCTCTAGTCTTCGTTTGTTCGACTGACAGCGAAACAAGCAAAATTAGACAGTACTGCGATGACATTACAATTTAAATTCAACGTTTTAGCTTTTTCATATTCCTTTACATGTCACTACGTTTAAATAGGTTGACTTGGGACATTCTTTTCGTGTTTTTTGTATTAGACCCGTCGTCCATTTATTTGTAAGTCAATGCCTTACATTAGCTTTTCGTACCATAACGCGCTTAAAGTAAGCTTATTTGTGACATTAAAACTATGATGTTTTATCGGCAGCTTTGTGACTATTCATTCACTCTGTTCGTACTGTTACGCGACTTTGACATTAAAGTAATATTGTTCTTATGTCAAATTTAACAATCTTAAAATAGTTACACGGACGCAACGGAAACAATATTATTTTCTTAGTTTTGTTGTCTTAATATTGATTAGTAATGATTAAAAGTTAAGTTGAACTCTATTTTGTTTATTTTTTATTTAACAGCACATAGGAAATAATTTCTCGTAAAATAAAAACACGCGATGTTTATTTCGTAAAATTATGACAGCGCCATCTATATGCTCCTTGGCGAAACTAACAGTTGACACTAGACTATAGTTCCGAATTTACAACGTGACTATCAAGACTCGGCTTGTTTTATTTATTTTTCTTCATGAAAATGCGGAATAACAATTGAAAACAACGTAATTTTAATAGATTTCATTATTACGTACTTTTCTACACATACATATTTTTACTTTTATTTTTTTTTTTTTTTTTTTTACATATTTTTGGCAGATGAAAATCTCTGAATGTAAATAATATTAAGTACTTTAACATTATACTGCGATAACACGATTCGGAACATCAAAAAAGAAAGAGATGGCATTAAACAGTTCATATAGCGTTATTTATTTCCTACTTTTTGTAAGGAATAGACAATATTGGGAAATCATTCGTTCTTTCAGTCACTTTAGCAATAATACACTATTTGGTTGATATATTGGTTTGTCATGGTACGAAAATGAGTAATATTGCAAAATGCTTAATTTTGCTTATATTGATGTTACATTGAAATAAGATTGTTTTTGAAAAGGTTATGGTAGGCCCCCTGATATTAGAATTGAGTCGACTCAAATTGTTTTGTTTTTCAGAGATGTTCGAAATTTGAATGTAATAATAAAATCGAATTTGATGTTATTATTACGCAATAATAACATTTACATAGATAAGAAATTTAGTATATCGCACTGCTATTACAATAGTGTTGTAACTCAAAAAGAGGACTTTCTCAGAATCGATGAAAAACGAATTACTCACTTCCCGCAAAAAATTATTTAAATTTATATGTTATAGTTTATTATTGACAATTAAACAATTTATCAAATATATTTAACAATAAAATGGAAAAAATTATTTCATGTTTTTCAATAAGGATTATTTTGGCCAAAACTAGCTCACATAAAATGTGTCTCATTTTGAGTTAAGTAGAAGTCTTTTAATTGTTTCTTACAATATTCTAACGACCGTTGTTTTGAAGTGTAGAGAATCAAGTTTAACGTTCAGTAATGATATAATATTAAATTTCACATATTTTGAGTTACAACACTATTGTAATGGCAGTGCGATATATTAAACAGTTAATCTTTATACCGGTCGTAATTTGCGATTTTTGAATACATCGTAGTGGGTTTATGATATGTGTATAGATAAATTTAATTATTTTTCTCATTGACCTACCAACAAATGGACGTCGGGTCTAATACAAAAACCACGAAAAAAATGTCCGAAGTTAACCTATACAAACGTAGTGACATGTAACGAAATATAAAAAACTAAAACATTTAATTTAAATTGTAACGTCATTGCAGTACTGCCTAATTTTGCTTGCAACAGTTTAAGGACCAAAAACACCATATTCAGCTTCTACTGGAAATTTAACAAAATGCACCGTATTTAGCTTCGACTGAAAATTACTTGAACACAAGAGTAATGGAGTAGCCTTTATCGTAAATATTAATTAATTTTTATATATATTATTCTGTCGAATTTTGTGCAAATTCACTTAAAGAAATAATAAAGAGTTGGGCAGATACAAACTACAGATATTACTACAAATGTGAAAGTAAGCGTGTACTATAAGAAATGTACTGATATTCCAACTAAACGTAAACCGTAATTCCGAAAACCGATTTAGTTTAGTCTTGTAATCTTCCTAAAAAAATACATTTGACATTTTATTTCGTTAGCTCGAATTAAACGTCATTAATAAAAAATATTTTTTTAAATAATATTAAAATCAAAGCGACTCTATAGTTTCTTTGTTCTAAACATTTCAATCGCTTGTGGTTCGAACAAGTGAAAATGACCAAAAAGTTTATTTAAGCTTCTTGAAATTAACGTAATGGGTCTCTTTCCATCTTTTGCGCATGCCATGTGTAGAAAAAGGACAGTTAGCTATTTGATTATTTTGTGTGCTTTTGTAATTTATATTTACGATTCATTTATATATGTACAAAATAACACTTTTAAATGAGAACTATGATAACACGATATATTTGTTTAGTGCAAATATGATACAAAATCCTGTTTTTACGCTTTACTGCAGTAATTTTTGATTGACAACCGCGCTGTCACTCGATCAAATGAAGACTGTTGCGCGATTGACGTTTTGTATGCAATTTTAACGCCCTATAGGTGCGGACACTTTTTAGCGCGAACCCGACGTCCATTCATTGGTAGGTCAATGATTTTTCTGTACATAGAACTATAATGATTTTCAAAAAAAACGTCGAATTTTTGCTAATAACAAGTGTCCTTAAACGCGTCACTGTTCTCTTGAACCAAATAACGTGTCTGTGTTTGTAAAATTACCAAAATTCACATTATTTTATTAACCTCCTAAGGAGTCTTGTATATTAAAATGTAAATAATATGTGACCTAATGCAGACCCAGACAATATTTTTACTATAATGATATAAACGCCCAGTAGGTACTTACACACAAATTTATAATGAAAATTTCTCATTCAATTTTAGCGTTGTTTAATTCCACCTCTGTATGACCATAGAAGTGTCTAGAAAAATATGTTTAACTTACGACATTGAGGCGGTACTTGCTTGGACCAGAAGCATG